CGCTGCTCAGCCAGGTCAGCCTCCAAACTGGCGCTGCACTGGCCCGATGCTGTCCCTCCACCAAGAAGTGCGGTCACGGCGGAGGACGGGGATGCCCCAGCTTGCCCAGGCGCAGCCCCGAGCAACCGGCCGTGCCCGTGGCATTGGTCCTGCTGGGAGCGGGGTCGGGCCAGAGACCTCCCCACCTTCCTTCCCAGTCACACACGCCTTCTCAGAGAGCCAGCTACGGGGATGCCGGCACACCCCGAGGGCAGCGAGATCGCTGGGGAACCCCGGCCTCTGGGAGACCGCGTCTCGCTCCAGTGGCTCGGGCTGCAGGGATGCTTCACAGCTCAGGGCCATGGAGCCCCGCCGAGTGTTTCCAGCCGGGCAGCACCTCCCATCTGCAGCTGCCTTTTAAAAATTTAAAAAAACCAAATCAACCCCAAACTAAAATAACCTCTTATTTTCATATGCTTGCATGAAAATACAGCTCAGATCCTTGGAGGCATGCAGTTTGTGACTCGACGTGAGACGAGGAGCTGGGCACCAGCCTCCCCTTCCTCGCCGCTTTTAGAGAGGGGCTGAACCCCCGCGCACTGCGCTGGACGCCCCGAGGGGTGCGCGGGGGGCGTTGTAGATCTGGGAGCGTGACTCCAGCGAACAGCCACAACATGCTCCACGCGGGCAGGGCCCCAACGAGGCGTCCTCTCTGCAGCCTGGCACGGCGCGGATGGAGGCATTGGGAGGGGGTTGCCCCCCGCAGCAAGCGTGACAAGGGGCCACGGCCACCAGCCACGGCAGAGCCCTGGCCTTCGTCGGGGAAGGGGCACGTGGACTCGGGCTGCTGTACACAGCTGCAGCTTCTCACCCTGGAGCTGAACATTCCCCCCAAGGCACAAACCTCGTGTGATGGACATCTGCTCCCAACATCCCCCCCACCCTGGGAAGGGAGAAGTCTCTGAAGCCCCTGGGACAGAAGACAAGCAGACCTGCCCTTGTTGGGGCTGCAGGTGTAGAACTGGGGGTAACAAGAGCTCTTCGAGCGTGTCATTAATAGCACTTTTTGGAGTCAGGCTTTGTGGCTGTGATGGGCTCCCAGCAGCGTCCTGTGGCTTCCTGTGACACGTGGTTTCTGAGAGGCTTTCATCCACTTTGCGGCACTTTTACTCACCACTTACCTCAGGGATGTGCAAGCAGGGTCAGATGCCGCGAGCGGGTAGAGAGCCAGCTGGATCGTCGCCCCCAGAGCCCTAACCCCATGCCAGGGGGATGCCCCTCAGGAGGAGAGGGTCTGCCATGACTTCAAGCCCATCTCTGCCAGGGCCTTCTCCAAAATTCGTCATGGCATGCGGTACGGCAGGTCTGCCTTAGTACCCGTGACATGGTGACAACAGCACAGACACTGCGACACACGTCCTGCCCGCTGGGCAGAAAAGCACCGAACATCTTGTCCATGCCCAAGAGTTCAGTTGGTACCGCCTCCAAACCCAGCACGGGTGCAGGCGGTGCTCGGTTCAGGCTCCTCCTAGAAGGAAGGAAGGGCTGGGAAGATCTCCGAGGGCGGTCTGTGAGGGGAAGGGGTGGCAGCGTACGGGGGCTGATGGCTTGGTACGGCACGCTTGGCTTTCTCAAATGCGTTTGGTTGAGGACCATGCAACAGTTGCAAGGCAAGAATTGCCTTGCATGGTGCTAACGAGGCCAACGTTGGGTGGATCATGCCTGGCCGAGCCACAGGTCTCACAGCGCGTCTGCGAGCAGGCGATGCCGAGGTACGGCTGTGCCTACCAAGCCTTCCTGCCAACGCCTCGTCGGCTCTTCGCCTGGTAACATAAAATCTTCCCTGGTGAAGCAGGCAGCTGAGGCGGCTGTTGGTGGGACAACAAGCAGCAGGAAAGGATTGTGTTAGAGACCCTTCCATGCCCGCTGCCTGGAGCACGTCCAGAGGAACACATCCATCAACTTTTCAACTCCACCTTAAAAAAACAAGTCATTTTTGTTTAAATCACCTTAATGTGGGAGGAAGCTATAGGAAAGAGGCGTTTTGATAGACTGTCATGATATGGGGAAAGATGGGAGCAATTTGGGACTCTTGGTGATTCACATTCAAAAACCTCTGAATCGAAAATCTGATTTGAAATCTCTGAATCTGTGATTTGCTTATTATCAGGTATTTTGAGGTCTCATAATGACCAAAGCTCTATGGTTGCGGAAAGGATGGGGTCAGAGGCATCTCCACTTATCTGTCACTTGTGGTACTGAAGGCTGCCGCTGGTGTAAGGCCCCCGTGGGAGCATCACGACTGTTTGTGAGAGGAATGACATGACGTTGAGACAAAGGCACGGCATTTTCAGTCTTCTGCGTGTCACATGCTTCCAGAAAACACAGAGTGAAGATGAGGAAAACAGGGCAAGTGAAGAGTCTGGGAAGATCCCCTGAAGTTACAGCCTACTCCTTCGCCCCCCAGGAGAAGGACCCACATCCTTCCCTGTCCTCCAAGGCAGACCGGTGGGATGGGTCCCCAGAAACCATCCTCACGGGCCCAGCAGCGGCTGACCCGCCTGCCATGGTGACGTCTTCCAGGGGAGCTGACAGCCCAGCAGAACACCCTCTCGTATGGTCCAGCACGCTGCTCCCTTGGGGACGGGCTCCCCCGGGATGGGCAGGCCTGGATGGAAGCTGAGGAGCACACAGGGAAAGCAGGGCTTGGCTGCTTGCGTATGCCGAACTCCGAGGGGTGCGGCTCTGTGGGTACGTTTTCCCAACACTGCAACGTAAAACCTTCTTTCAGCTGGGCCTTCGGTTACGTTTGAGCTCGTGCTAAATCAAGCCAACACTGAATGCCTCACCAGATTAGATTATTCCTCAGCCGTGTGGCTCTCTGTGGCTGCCTCAATCCACAGAAGATAGGAGACCACGTGCCGTTGTAGATTTGTGCATATGCATGACCACCGATCTTCCCCATTTCCGCGCGACACGCGGCGATTGAAACCCGAGGGTTTGGAGCTCGTTGTTTCAGGCATGGCAACAACACCTGGTTTTAAACTTGTGGACTTTATGGGAAGAAGAAAAAAAATCAGTAAAACCACATTGTAACATGAAATATCCTTCAAAGAGATTTTTAAAATCAACTTAAGTTTCAGAGTCCTTACTGTCGCGTAAAGCACTGCATTAGCGGCCGTGGATAGAGGACGCCAGGTTCTTGTGAGATGCAGGGGCATAAGAGAGGCCGAAAGGCTCAGCTCCGATGGCTCAACTCTGCTGACAACAGCATTTGGTCATGGTAGTGCCATGGCAGAGAGGGGCACTACACTTGTGATACGTGGTTGAAGAGGAAGGGCAAGCTAAAATGAAATTTAGAATAAACAAATTATTTCTTGGTTAATTCCTGAGTCATTTCAAGACTGACTTCACAGAGACACACTTGGTAGCTTAGCAATACCCGAAGCCGTGGCAGGCCATATTTTCAACACAATCGCACTCGCCATTTATTTTTCCAGTATTTCAAATCAAATTCGTCATTCATTCGCTCACGTGTGTATTTATATCCTTCCCCGGACCCAGCCCTCTCCTTCTACACGCGTCCTGCCAACAGAAGTGCAGAGCTGTCCGGGACTCGCCTCCCTTTCGGCTGTCTGTCTACTTTAAATGAGCTCTTATGGTGGTGGTGATGTATGTATGTATTTTGCATTGTCACATTGAGGAGTACCGTATTTTTCCATGGAAAACAGAGAAACATTCAATTTGGAAAACTATTCTGTGTACCACACACAGTTTCGTGACTTTTGCTGGCCTCGTCGTTATGGTCAGATATTCCACACGTAATTCCTTTCTGATTTAACTCTTTATAAAGCCAAGTGGCTCGGTCTTCTTCAAGAGATAATCTCGTAACAAGAGAGCCTGCGATGTCAGCACAGTTTTCTTATTAACCCGCAGCCCCGGGCCATGCTGAGATGAATTCTTTTCCCTCCTTCCTCCTGGCATTCGCCAGGCGAAGCAGCTAAACCAGCTCCCGTACTGGCTGCTCCTACCCCAACTCCTCCAGCACCGGGCAGGAGGCTCGGGCTGCTCCTCGCTCAGGGGACGCGGGCCCGAGCAGCGCGCCGTGAGGGGTTGGTGACTCTAACCTGGCCCACACTGAGCTACGGTGAGTGCATCCACACCGCGCGCCAGTCCGCTTTACCGCGGTAAACTCGCCTTAGAGCGCCGATGTCGATGCCTGTCCCAGGATGGCTTTGGGACAGTAGCCCTGTTGCTATGAGAGCGCTAGAACCACACACGCCTTCTCTCCCACCTTCTCCCCATTCTTTCTTTTATGAGCACTGCTGGGCTGATGCTGCTTAGACCGTGCCCAGGACAGGTACCGTGCTCCGGTGGTGCACCACTGCCAGCAACGTCACCAAGCTCTTAAATGAGCTCTTCCCGCAATCGGCAGCCAGGGCTCCAGAAAACCGTGAGCTAAGCAAGCTGGTCAGCAGACAACCACCATCCCTCACTTGGAAGTTGTCCTTGCCTGGAGACATGGCTAGACCTTGAGCCGATATGGTTAGACCTCGCACAGGCCACCCAACTTGAGAAGCATAGCAAGGTATGACCCATCACTGATTTCCCACAGCCAACACAATAACCATGACCAGGGTGGATCTGCACCAGAAGAAATGACCACATGTGTGTATGGAAGCTCTGGGATCCACTGTGCATGTTCCTTCTGTCACGTCCAGGGCTCTAAATGCTCAGAGAAGGAGCAAACTCTGCAGCTCTGTGGCTTTTTGTGCTGCTTCAAGTCAGGCTCCTCTCCTTGACATACTTTTCATGGGCTGCAGAAGTATCACGAGACCTGGCAAGACTGCTGGAACCCAGTGCCTGTGACCAGAGCCAGAAAAAGCTTTACTTCAAGCAAGGTAACCACTCATAGCACAGATCCTGTAAAATACAATTCAATTCCATCCCAATAGTTATTACAGCACACCAATAGATCTTCCTTTATTTATTTTTGCAAGATAGAGGCCAGTGATGTTAATGCTAAGTTAGAATTCAATCCGCCGTAGTAAAACTCATCATAAATCCAGACTAAGATTAGCAGCTGACTTTGAAATTGCTATAAATGAGACTTCACAGCCTCTGCAAGGCTCATAGCAGAATCTATGCAGCCATCGAAGTTGGAATGAGTAAATCCATCGCCCCCACAAATCAGGAGAGGTTCAGTATGAAGGATCATTTGTCCCAGACAATTGGGCACAGCTTTTGTAACCTGAAAAAGAAAAGCATACAGGGAGATGGAAATGAAAGTATTTGATTTACCTGAATTTCACGCCAGGAAGGTCTGTATTCCTGAGAAACACGCCTTCCCACAGAGCACCCCTCCCATCCCAGATCACAGGTCCAAGCATTAGCGGTCAATGTACCATAGTCAAATACTTTTCTTCTGGAGTTAAAGCTTTCCTGTGTGTGGAAATTGAGAAACTTTACAGCCCCATCCCGTCTTATTCTCAGCATCTGCCTCAGCAGAAATGAGCTGCCCGACCCTGGACAGGCGAGGTCCCTCAGCCCAAAGGTGTGGAGACACATGGTCTGACACCAGCAGAGGTGGGCTTGCAAACCCCTCCAGGTACAAAACTGTTCCAGGAAGCAGAGGGAGCCTGCGTGTCCAGGAGAGCCCGCAGTACCACTGGGTGAGCGGGTGACCTTCCTGGGTGGGAAGGCAGGCGGACATCAGAGTCACGGCTGTCACGATGATCTGCCCACGCTTCAGGCTGCTGTGCGATCACACGTGCAGCCTTGGGACGGCCCGCCCTGCCTCCAGCCCTGCCACGCCGCTCTCCCTTCTCATCTCAGCAGTACAACAGTTCTGAGATGCTGATAGAGACACAGCCAACACTGTCCCTGAAAATGGCATGGGACAAGTTCTGGATAAGCTTGCTTTGATAAATATTTAATGTCGTTCTCAATGTGTATTCATTTTAAATATAAATTTCCTGGCACCGTGCCCTCAATTAAACTTGTGTCTGTGGAGTGGCAGCTCTGGAGCAGGTCTGTGTAACATTTCTAAGAGTGAACGGACTTTGCTTTGGCCGGTACCTGTTAACCTGCAGCTATCGGGAACCCATGGGAAGAACAAGACCTCTTTTCGGCACTGAACTTCATGACAACGCGTGTCACATGGCAGCGTAAAAGCAGGCAGCACGGGTGTCTGTACCACGCCGGGCTGCGCCAGCGCTGCGGCAGCCTGTTCCAAACCTGCGTACGAAGGCTGAGGGTCCGTGTTGTACTGAACCAGCGCGCCCAGAGCTGCACCAGCGAATCTCAGGATGGAGACAAGGCAGCAGCCACAGCAGCACTGGCATAAACGCGAGGGCAAGGCAGGCTCGTGCAGGAGGGATAAAAGATAAGAAGAGGCAGGACAGCTTGATGATGGGGTGACTGGAGGAGGAAGGAGGGAAGAAACAGTCCGGGAAAAGGAGTAACAAAAGACCCGTAAGGATGAAATGTTGAAAACCAGGAAAAAATACCTAGAAAGCCAGAGAGAGAGAGAGAGAGGAGGAGAAGCACAGCAGGAGAGCAGCAGCAGAAATCCGGCCATAGAGATTACGAAGCATGATACAGAGAGCACGATTTTGTTCTGATCGTGTCTTGACTTTCTGCCTCTGGTCCAAAGACACATTTCGGGTTCCTGCACAGTAAGCAGTTACCGTACCCCACCATGCAACTGCCAGCTTCGGCCAGTGAGACCCCAAGTCTTGTTCAGCACAGGGGATTCTTCCACCGATTCAAAGGTCCGCTCTGCTTGCCACTGCCGTGCCGTTACCTGCCGTCTCCAAGTACGGAGCAGTTGCAAACACCCACATTTATGTCACTGGCTGCATTCTGTGTTACTGGAACGTCAGCGTCTCTCTAAAGGAGGCAATTATCTGGAACTAATTTGTAGATGCAACCCATTCACCATTATTCAACTTTCCAGAAGAGTCCAGCCATGTCTGGCAAATCCAGACAAAGATCATCTTTCTCAGACTTAATTTATTCCTAAATTTTTCTTACAGACCGAGGTCACTGAGCATCAACAGTGAAGGAAGGTTTAGCAGAAAAAGGCCTTTTGAGTGTCCTTCCTTCTCGACCACCCAGTGCTTATTTGACGCTGGCCATACCAAACAGCGTCTGATTTGTCATGCTGACCACAGGATCGATTTTTCACATCTCAGCCCGCATCCTTCTGTCCGTCTGGCAAGATCACATGCTCAGTGTAGTAAAGGCACTCACTCGAGACGTAGTGACCGGGGAAAGGAGTGATCCCACCCCTTCTCCAGGTTCTTCTGAAGGCGGTGTCCAACATAAATTCCAAACTACCCTCGGCTCTATGGCACAGCCTGTTGGACCTCCACGAACCATAGAATCGTAGAGTGTTTTGGGTTGGAAGGGACCTTTAGAGGTCATCTCCATCCTCGAAGACTTCAAGACTCAGCCAGACTAAGCCATGGCCGAGGTCACCCAGTGCTGGCGGTAATTCTGCTTTGAGCAACAGGCTGGACTAGAGACCCAAAGAGGTCCCTTCTCAGGTACCCTCTGAAGAGGTCCCATTCCTACAGTTCTGTGTTTTCCCAGTGTCCCTTCTAAAGTGACTCTGTCAAAGGGACACGGTAGATTGGGAAGATGTTGGCTCTGAATGCTAATGTCTTACCGTAATTAAAGCAGGGGATCCAGAATTGCAGCTGTGCCGCTGAGTAGTGCCAGTAGAAGTTTGGAAGCCCTAATCCCTCATCCGCCAGGGGTAATTGTAATGTCTGCATTTTAATCCCAGGATTGTGTTTGGCCATGTGAAGGATGTTACAGCTGGATTTAATTAACAAGTAGGATAAACCCCGTCTAAGAGAGTCAGGGGAAAGATGCGCCCATCCTATCAGTTCCCTTCGCTTCTGTGGCAACAGCTCATTACAGTTGAAAGTAAAGATAGCTTAGGAGAGAGAGGGAGCTCTGTCCCAGATATTTAATTTAGGTAGGGATTATTTTATAGGGTGGCAATAGAGATCTCTTTACTGAGACACCAGATCTGACCTACACGGACTTATCTGCAATCTAAGGCACATTGACATTCATCCACCGAATTACAGATTGGTGATAATTCCTCCTGCGACAGCGCCACAAAGCGCATGCAGCTGCCGAAGCCGGTGGGTTTGCTTAGGAGCGGCGTGGTCGACAGCAGGCAACAGAGGCGGGAGAGGAGAGCCCAAAGAGCTGTAAATCGTACAGCGGCTTGAAAAAATAACAGAGCATCATCCAGCGGTGCGATGTCCGAGTGTAATTTTTAAACAGGGGCAACAGGACGCACACCGAGTGCTTTAGGAAGACAACAATTTTGAAGCAGTTGTGGAAAATAGGAGCTCATTCCTGCCGTCACTGTACCAGCTGCCGCTAAAGGATGAGGCAATCGGCATGAGGTTAGAACAAATCCTGTATGGCCATAACTTCGCCAGGATCCAAAAAGCATAGTGGTTTGGTAGAATGCAATTGAGACTTTTCTGTTTTTTAATTCAGCAGTAAGAAATTAACTGCTGTTCTTGTCTTCTCCTTTATCCGTGTTTGCGTGGGGCAGTAAATCAGAATGGGCCATGCATGGGGCCGCAGTATCTGGGGTGTGTCTGTTCTGCTGAAAAATCCCTCTTCCTTTGTTTTGGGAGCCCTCTCCAGAGCGGGTCACCCAAGTGCCTGCCTGCTGGAGGCAGGTCCAGCTCTCCTCCTCCCCACCACCTGCAGCTCGTGCGCTCGCCAGCAGGTCGAAGCAGAAAAGCAGCAGAGAATGCAGAAGAAAAGACCAGCAGCCACAACCAGAAAAGGACGCCTGCACAGCGACAGCCGTACCGCGCTACTGTTAACAGCACAACCCCCTGCGCTGACAGGGGAGCGTGTACAACACACCACGACTTCTGCGTGGGTCATCTGGAACGCTGGCACCTGCGTTAAGGCCGTTTCCATGCGGCAGCTGGGCACAAACACCCGGCGCTGGGAAACGGGTTGCAAATTACCAGTACCTAGCGCACAGAAAATAAACTGCGTGCTAACGAGACCCGGTCCCTAAACTGGACGCAGATCAAGGGGCACGAGCAGACTTCACAGCTGTCACCTACGGTCACTTTTCCAGACTTCGTAAAAAGAAGAATTTTTAGGGGACTGCTTTAAGTAAATATTTTGCATCGACTTCCACATTCAATTTCACCAATGTAATTTAACTGAAGAGGCTTTGGGTAAACATGCAGATACACTCCAGTGCTTTAGGGAATTGCCAACGATTTCCTCGGATTTTTAAAAGCAGCCTGTAAAATACACACATTTTGCTATTATTACCCTTAGGTAGTTTACTTTAAAATATTTTTCACATAACATACTGTTAAATTGAACGGAGCCAAATCAAATAATAACAATTAGTACGTCTGAGGGCAAGTTCTGCTACTCTGTGGTAGGGTGGGATGTTGCTAATAATATCGCATGCTTTCGGATACAGAGGAGACAGACTGAGTCATCTTGTGAAACACCAGTAAAAATCCCACGGAAGCACGTGGGATTTACTTCCTCCCTGCACACTGCTCCTGCCCTGCTTACAAGGAGCTGCGTAACGCACCCCTGAGCCGGGTCCACTAAAAAGGTGGCTAGAAATGACCTGGCCGCCATCGGCCAGCCCTGGCTGCTGCTCACGGCTGCGTGGAGGGATATCGAGCAACCGTCCCCTTCTCTCTTGCTGCCTGAGGATGAAAACCACCGGGTCACACGATGTCCCGTTTCTTGCGATGCACTGCAGGTCTGCACTATGATGGTGCCCCAACAGCCCCCCCCCACCACAGAGTACCTGAGAGTATCTCCATTTCTGACACTTGACGCTGGCTGGTTTGGGTAGGGATGGCACAATCCTCTCCAGGTGACTGAGAATCAGCTGCTGCACCTCTGCAGGGTCCGAATCCAGGTGCTCGCTTCCAAACGTCACAGTCGTGTGAACTACAACTGAGGGTCCGATTGCAGGAGACTCTGAAATAAAGGAGACAGATGCCTTCGAAAGTTGACCCACAAACACCTGCCTTCCCCGCAGGCTGACAGTTGGGCCTCCAGCCTAGGAGTCAGTAAGAACCATGCAGCAGTATTTAGGTAGCTGAAAGCCTAGAATAAACCAATACTTTTTATTTATGGAAGGGGAGAAGGGGCAGAGAGGCCAGAGTGTGTTAGCCTGAGAAATCAGCACTTCCTTTTGGCCGGCACAAGTGAACTCAACTCAAATTTTGCTGCTCCAGCAACTTCCAGGAACTGGATGTGTGGCTGTCCACATGCACGTTTTGGGGAGTGTGAACCTTCAGTACAACTCCTGCCCTCGGGCAAATATGAGCAAGTGAGCAAAACCCAAAAAAAAGGGGTTGGCCCTTGAAAATCAACCAGGCTGCAGTGCCAGGGGAGGAACCGAAGGCAGCCCAAGTGCTGGCGTTCATCCCAGCAGACCTGGAGACAGCCAAGCTCCATTATGGCTGGGGCTTGTTGTAGGTTGTCTACAGCAAGGGACTTCTGTCCCCACCAGCATGTTGGCTTGTCACCTTACGGACATGGTCTGGACAGCCAACAACCAGTGGCCAGAGAATTTGCCCAGAATAGGGGATTTTCAGGCTCGGTGATTTCCCTGTGCCAAGGCACGATGAGGACCCAAGCAGATCCTTGGGTAAGTCACTCATGCCGGGGCTGTCCTGCTTCAAACGAGGAGGATACGTTTGCTGGAGCAAGGACATGACCCGAGTTCTGCTGTATTTCAGCTGAGAGCTCAAACTCACCAAGCAATTCCCTCTCGCCCTATTAACCAGAAATTCCCTCTTTTGGAAGCAGAAAGCCTTTTCTGGCTAAACCTTTGTTTAAATTAGCACATTCCTAGAAAAATATTTTAGTTTCAGCAATTGGGCATTTTATGACCAAGGAATCCACAAAGGAAGAGGCGGTTGAACACTTTCTGAGCAGCGCTGGCTGTTAGGTACCAAGCTTGATAGAAATCTTTCTCTCTGCTCTGTCAGTGGAGACATCTCCAGCTCCAGCTCCTCCACCTGGAGATCCCCTTTGAGAAGATGACAAATTCCAGCTTTCCAAAGGCAACCAGAATGTCTTTCTCTGATCAGCTTTCTGTCCTGGGCCAAACAGAACACACTACTGAGGCACAGCAGTTCCCAGTCCTAGAGCCCACAGCAAACAAGAACGCAATGGCTCTAACTTCAGCTGGAAGCATCCCTTCACCGAGTCTTTCTTGGGTGGGCCAGCTCCGTCAACCCTTGCCCTCGAGAACTGGGAAAATGTGGCTAAAAGGGGTGGGAAGACGTTTCCTGGTTGTGTCAGGAACGTACCCTGACAGGCCACATCTGAAGGCACCGAGCCATGGTGCTGCTTTTTCTTAAAGTTCTCCTTTTCCCAGCAAGATCACGCACTTCATGCCCGGGGCCGAGCTCCCAAGCCCTGTTCTCGGCAAGTCCTAGTGCCCTTTTCCTGGGCGATTTCCTGAAGTGCCCAGAAACTCTGAGCTTGTTTCCTAGTTCAATCTGAGGTCCTGACTTTGCTCTCTGGTGTCTTGGCCTTGGAAGTAAGCCTTAACCATTGGGGATGGGCAGGTCCAAGATACCCACCCAACACGGATTTGGGATGAGGGCCAGGCGGATCTGGGGATGAAGACTGCGGAGTGAAGCAAGGACTGCTCTTGCCTAGAAGCAGAGGCTCAGCCTAAGGGGCCATCTTCTTCCCTGAGCTCTAGCGAACCGATTGCCTAACACCCAGCCTCAGGCTTGCCTTCCTGAGATCCTCCTGCCACCCCAAGCCTGGTTCCATGGGCTGGCGATCTCTCTTCGCATCAGCTTTTCCAACTGTCTGGAAAAACATCAGAAACACTACTCGGTTTCTCTTTCCCATTTTGGGGGAGAAAACAGGTATTCTGACATCTCTACGTGGAGCCTGCTGGGGACAGAAGACCACGTGGGGATGCCTATTAGGTACCTTGGGATTTATTATAGTGTATGTGGTATTTTGGCAACTTCTTCCACATAAACTTGGCCAAAAGGCTCACTAAACAACATCTAAGCATTTTAATAAAACAAATACTCATTGCTTGCTGTGACTTGTTATAGCCAATGATTCTTGGACAGGGCCGCCTTCTTCCAGATCTCCCATCTCTTCCATAGCGCGTACAAAACAAGTTTCAGGAGAACAGGCAGTTCGTTGAGCTTTTAATTCCCCCTTTGAGCTACTGATAGCTTGGAGAGCTTCCAGAGGCCACTGAGTCACAGCCTTCCAGTACTGAAATATGCAGCCTGCAAGGATCGAGTTTAGCCTCAAGCCCTTTTCCTTCTTCTGCAAAAATACTGGCTAAGAGAGGAGTTTAAAATAGACTTTTCCCTGACAGCAATGGGGGGACCTCAGCCTTGATGCACCGGGTATGAGCGACTGCTGAGCTGCCGCGGGAGCAAAGCCGTCATTTTCCTCCCAACACGTTTAGATCAGGCTGCGACGGCTAGCTTAAAAACCAGGGCTCCTGGCAGGGCTCCTCAAGATTTCCATTTCCTTTATTTGTGGCAAGGACGCAAGCCACCCATGGCCATGCTAGCAGATGACGAAGTAGCACGGGAGATGTGGCAAGCCCGGGAATGCTCGGCAACGCGAGGGGTGATGATCTGAGGGTGAATGGAAGCAGCATAAAAGCTTTCATCGGCTCCCAGTTCTCCCCCCTCTCATCCCAGCTGCACGGCAATTAATCCGATCAGCGGATGCAGTGGCAGGCGCAAGATGCCGGGCAGATCAGAGCGCGAATGAGACGGCAGAGTTGGCTGTAGCTTAGACCTGCTTAACGAGCAAGGAGCTGCTCTGCCAGCGTTGGCAGCATCCTCGGCACCCGCAGTTGCAAGGGACCCCGCTGAAAACCCGCGTGGAGCGAGCGTGCGCCTCGCCTGGCTCCCCCTGCTCCATCCCACCCGTGCTGCAGCGGCGCCGGCGCTCGTCATTAGTGCCCAGCTGGAGGAATCACGCTGGCTGCGTAAAGAAAGCGAAGGACGGGCTGCTGACAGGGAGAGTTTGGGCAGGATTAAGCCTGTCAGGAGGATTATCTTCCAGAAAGAGGATGGGGCTCATAAAAGACGCCCTGGAGGAGAGGGCGGAGAACAGAGCCCAGG